AAGTCCATTAATTTTATTGTTCTCCAGGTCATCTCATCTTTAGAACTAATGCAATTTAGTCGTTCAATTTTTATGGTGTAGACTTTAATCTCCAAAATTGTAGATTTCATTCAATTTCAGCATTCTTTTCTCACATTCTTCGTTAAACATAAAGTTTTGCCTACAAAACATAATTTAACATAAATTAGGTAGAATTTATCCAAAAGACAATAAAATATCATGATCTAGGGGCACAAATAAGTGTACAAAATACACTAATCAACAGGTCAAGCTGTTTCCTGCTTAAAATAAAAACACAGGAATGAAAGTCTCTTTCTGATAGCCATATGGCAAAGATCAAATAAGACTTGGTGCTTAGCAAGTGGACTGCATCACCTTTTGTGAAGCTAATGAAAAATTTCCAATAAACTTCCATCAAGAATTTATTTTTCTCTTTTGATGTTTGATATCATCGTCCAGGCTGTGTGCTAAACGCAGCATCTTGCATTGTTTTTGTTGTCTTCTATTTTCCAGATCAGGTGAATTATTTAACATAATAAAGTTCCATTACATAATATGCACTCATATGGTGAATAGGGTTAATAGAAAACCTATGAAATCAGCAATTCCTTTCCTTCCCAAAGTACTAATCCATTTTGTTGTAAGTTGTAGTTTGATCAATATTTTAGTTAGAACTTTTATTATGGTTGTATCTATTCATGTTTGATTAAGATACCATACATTTTGCTATGTTAATTTCTTCCAGGTATGCACAGTGACATTTACTTTTCCTCTCATCTTGCTTCTCTCCTGAAATTCATTTATCTGAAGTCCATTCGCTTTACAAACTTTCAGCTTGAGCAAGAAATTTTGAACTTCTCTGAAGGACTAAGAGTTTTAGGATTGAAGCCAGAGGAAAAGCTTGCCATTTTTGCTGATAATTCATGTCGGTGGCTTGTCGCCGATCAAGGTATACAGCTGCTCACCTTAACCTCAAGTTAGCGCCTGAAAAAAAGAAGTCAATAAGATTTAAAAGATGCAGTAAAACTGGATGTGTCTGCATCTTCCACCAGCCTACAGACCCCATCAATGAGCCCTCTGCTCAAGCTTTTATTAAACCCCCACCCGCTAAAGTAGCGAACAAAGGCTCTTTGGGATCTAACTTCCTTTATATCTGACTCAACAAACAAATAGGATCTGGTGTTTCTTTCTTGTTTTACCAACAAAATGCATCCAAAGCTAAGATTATAGATAAGGAGCAGCTAATTGCTCCAGGAAAAAATATAATGGTTCTCCTAATATTCCACATTGGACTTTTATTCCATTGGAAGAGCTTTTCTGTGCCAGATTGTAGATCAGAAAAACTTCGAGACTATGTTTAGTTCCACCACAATACGAGGTCATGTTTTAAGTTTTCCATTTTTATGTTGTCACCATAATTACTCTAAATAGACCCAATTAATTCTACAAATTGCATAAAATAATGTGCAGCCAGTTGGATTGCAAAACATCTCCTGCTTTTATCCATTTTATCCTTTTTTGGTCTGCATCTACACATTTCACTCAATTAGGTTCAGCCACAGTATTTTCATTGTTCATCTTTCCATCTCGAAAAATGTGTTGATATAGGATACTTGTTGACTTGCTCGTTAGCAAATAAGATTGCTCAAGACTAAGGAATAGTCAGTGGTTCTGAACTCAGTTGGGCAAAGATTGACTGTGGGTTCGCTCTCCATAGTTATTACACTGCTATTAGTAACTTTAATGAAATGTGGAAAAACTTGTTTGATATTTGAGATGCTCTTTTGGAAGTACTCTTGAAGATTAGATTTGATTTTCTGTTTCCTTTAGAACTGGAATTTGAATGTTGAATTTGTGTAAATCATACATTTTTTTTAAAATTCAGAACAACTTCTGTAATGTGTGAATCTGTCCTCAGGAATTATGGCTACTGGAGCAATCAATGTTGTGAGAGGTTCAAGGTCGTCCGTTGAAGAGCTTTTGCAGATATACAGTCACTCTGAAAGGTTAGAGGAAAATTTCCCTTTCGGATCTATGCTCTTCTTCTATTTCAACTGGATTTAACTTGATATGTAGATATATATACACTCTTTTTAGCATGATCCATCCCGCATGTGATCATATTATGATTTGCTGTTATGTTAATGGAAGTTTCAATAGTATTTTTCCTTTTTAATTTTCTGACTTTAATTGGATCATCTATGGATCGAAATTTGTTTTCAACACTAAGTGCTGTAAAATTATGCATTAAATCATTTCAAGATCTACATTTTTGAAGAACTGCTTCTCTGAGATCAAAACTAATTTGAGTCTTATTTTTAGGTCATATGTTTGTTGATACTATACTTCAGTATTTACTCTTATTTCTCATATGGGTTGCGTGATAGTCCAGTTATTTTTCAATTTTATGAAGTGAAGAACCAGAAGTGTTTGCCAAGTAAAAATAATGAGTTTCTATTGTCCTTAATTGATATTTGTGGAAAATGGACGCCGTGAACAATTGCTTTACAGATGACTAGATGCCAGTAATGTGAAACATCTATTATACTTTTGTTTCTCTACCTTTGTTTCAATTGCTTAATATCCATGCTAGGATTAGAATATTTTTTGAAAAGAAAAACGAAGTCTCACAAACTCCTTGTCATAGAGATTTTAATTGTTGAAAGCTGATTGGTTTTGACCTTCTAATGATGTTGAAAAAGATACCATAATATATGTAACTAGAGTTGAAGTTTGAATATCTTTACTAATGTTATATATTACGCATTTTGGTTTTAAGTTATAGTACGAAGTTCATTTTTTTAGCATGCCACGAGACATTGATACAACAGTATGTTTAGGTTCAATGTACCTAAAGAAACTATGCAGAAAGTAATGACTATAGATCCAATTGTATCATTTGAGCATCCGATCAATTGACATAATGCGCTAGAAAGATGAATGTGCCCATGGTTTTGTAAGGTTGTTCAAAATTGGTGTCCAAGTTCTCGTGTCAACTTCTTTAAGTAAAGAAATTATGTTCTTTTAGTTTTAGAATCCCCATCTACTATCTAGAGGTGAAGGACTTTATAGATGAGAATCCTGGCTCTTCACTACAAAATGCTTGATGAAAGGATTATAGGGCTTAAACAATGTGATGTCACCAATATAATCTACTATGATACACAATCAGTAAACAAGAAAGAAACATGCTAAAAAAGAAATAAATAGAGACAAACTTCTTGTTGAGCCGTCGGTGCAGTATCAAAACTTCACATATACATGCAACAGAAATAACTGTAGGAAAATGATACTTACCTTCTTGAGGTTATGTGAAATGTGCAAGGGCACTGGTTTGAACTACTCTGCCTGTTCTTGTTTGTTGATGGAACAAATGATAAAATCCCACTTTTAAATTTTAAAATCAGCACTAGCAGAAATGATTAACTTTCATACTCTTGCTTGTTAATCATGATTACACCTGGTTCTCCTCATCTTACCAACTATATTTCCTTCCAATGCTCCCACTTACCTACCAACCATAATTGCTTCCTCCACCATCAAAATGCTACCCTCTTCTCTCTCCCTTTTTTCTTCTCTTCCACTCTTGACTTGATAAACTGAGACGTTCTATTGATACTGTTAGGAAAATAAATAAGGAATAAAGTAGATTAGGCAAGGTGCAATTCGGTTTATTGTGTTTCCATCTTTGATAGCTATTTCCATACGTGTATTGTTGATTTCCTCT